GCGATCAAGGAAGGAATTTTGAGTCTCAAATATTCCAGGAAACTTGCCGAGTTATGGGTACTCATAAAACAAGAACGACTTCTTATCACCCGCAATCTGATGGAATGGTGGAACGATTTAATCAGACATTGGAGAGGTACCTAGCAAAAGTTGTATACAATCGGCAACGAGATTGGGACAAGCACATACAACCGTTTTTGTTGTCATATCGAAGTTCTGTTCACGAAAGTACAGCAGTGACACCAGCTTTCGCAAACTTTGGAAGAGAATTACGGCTGCCTGCGGACCTGATCACCGGGATACCACCTGATGCCCCACGCAGTATAACCGATTATGCAAATGACTTGCGGAACAAAATGAATGACGTTTATGAGCACGTCAGACAATCGGGCCAGCAAATGTCTGAGAAAATGAAAACCCGGTACGACCACAAAATGAACAATAAAGGGTTCAACGAAGGATCATTAGTGTGGTTGCACAATCCAGTCCGCAGCAAAGGGAAATCTCCTAAGCTTCAAGCTAAATGGGACGGCCCGTACCGGATTGTAACCAGGATCAACGATGTGACCTACCGGATACAGAAAGGCGCAAGAGGGACTCCTAAGATCGTCCATGTGGATCGCTTGGCGCGTTATTATGGGACCGATAATGCTCGGGACGAGCATGTCTTAGGAGGGGGCAGTGTTGCATGAATAAGTCAACTAGCGCCATCTAGTGTCAGGAACGAGAGCGAGGGGAGCATTGAGAAAATGACATCACAAATCACTCAACCGACAGCGCCTAGTCGAAACTCGAACGCTCGGTACCTTGCGCGTGTTTACTTGAACATTCTGGATATTTCTTTGCTAATTTAAATATATAGGGGCTGCAAGATGCGAGAGATATAGTTGAACTCGGCGACACAAGCGAAGCTTCGGAGCGGAATTAAGTGAATTAGTGTGTTTAATTATTAGTGTTTTTAGTTTTAATTTGTGTAAAGGAAATTAAAGTGTTAATTTAGGTAATTTTATCGGCGATTTTTATTGTCACGAACCTCAAGCTCGTAACAATGGCATGCATGTAGCTACAGCGCAACATACCAAAATTGTGAAAAAATTGAATAAACATCAATTTTTCAATTGAAAAAAAATCTGAAAAATGCCGTGACTTCTTATTGCATGCCGCTTTGTATTTTGTTAGTAGATACTAATTCAAGTTGAAATGCAAAATGGCATGCATGTAGCTTCATGATGAAGCATGATTTTTTTTCTAAATTTTTTATGAAAAATGAAAGTAAAAAATTATTAGCAGCATCATTATTTTAAACGTGAAGTATTATTAATTATCATTATCATCAACCGCTTCATCATCATTATCGACATTATCATTATCATCATCATCATCGCGGCTATGTACGGACTCTTCTTCCGTTGTGTAGCCAATATCGGATTGGCAATCGCTGTCATCGTCATTATTCGATTCGTCATCCTCTTCATCATCAAAATTTGGATACATCGATATGACTTCCTCGTCATTAGCGCCGCTTTCTTTTTGGGGCTATAAAAATTAAAGAAAAACATGTTTTTCGGTTATCATTCTGATTTTACGTGTTTGTTAAACATAAGTAAAAAAACTGATCGTACAGTAATGAAATTTCTAGTAGAATAATGACCTCCAATGTGAAAAGATAAAAGCATGAGTATAAAGAAATAAGTACCTTCAATAATTTCCTGTACATTAGGAGGAACGTCATCACCCTCGAACCACCGGAAGGAATAGCTGTTATTTTCCAGTTTCCAGCCGAATTCCTCTACATTCAATGAATCGTTGGGCACTGGAGAAAAATAATTTTTCCACATATGTCTAATGTACGCTGCTCGAAGAAGTTGTTGTTGGAGTTCACGTTTACAAGATGGTAATATGCAAGCATTGAAATTCATCAACTTTTGCTTGAACTCGTCTGTGGGCTCTATTTTGTTTGTATATGTTTGCGTAAATGTTCGTAGACGAGCCTCGTCTACATTAGAGCATTTTCTGAGGCCATTTTTCGCTGTTGCGTACATTTTGCAGACAAAGTCCTCCAGCGTGGTAAATGCACTTTCGTAATTGTCGCTATCTGGGCTTTGCAATGCGATGAAAGCTTCTTGGAAATCTTCATTGGCAGAATACAGTTCCCACGGTTTCCTTTTTCCCTTGCGGTAAAATTCAGGGTTGAAATCGACCCGTTAAGGCATGGAAAGCCGGTAAGCCTGAGCATTTTTTGCTTCCCAGTACGTCATACACTTTGTTCATGTTAATGTAACGACGATTGTTTCCGACGCCAAATAATGTCCAAACCTTCAGTGACGCTGGTAGTTTTTCCAAGTTTGTTTGCAAGGACGTGACGAGGATATCCGTGTCAGAACATTGGTCACTACTTCTTTTTCTTCTTTAAGTTGACACAGGAAAAACGCCATTTTTGTGTCTGCTTCCTCGTGGCCTTCGCATTTTAAATTGGGCATTACCTCGCAATCAAGTGACGATGTGTCATCTAGGAAACCGAAATCTGATCTAAACGACATCTGGTGGCTAAATTACAAAGCGCATGGGTAGCTCGCCGTCCGTCCATCTAACGACGACAGGCCGTGTCGACGGCGCGTTTTGTTCCACGCGCGCCTCAAAGAGCTGTCAGCAGCGTGAAGGGGCCCGCAAGGGCCGACGCCTGCCGGGGCTGCGGGCTGTTCGAAAGGGATACCGCGGCTCCGGAACGTAAGGGCACTGAAGGAACACGGATGGTTTTTAGTCAGTAAAAGTCTAATATATAAGACACTCCCTTACACTCCACCCAGAGCGAAAGGCGTCATTAGATGATTTTCCATCCGCAAATAAAACAAAGGCTGCTTCATTAAGTGGGAACCATTGCCGAACCGCTAGATGTTTGCCGGACCTGGCTGTATACGACCGTGGTCTAGACGCTCCGAAGAGTCCAGCTTGGTTCGAGAGTTGTTGGGTATGTATCGGTGGGTATAAGGAAAGATTTTACTATAATTCCGCATCAATATGATCACGCGAATCTAGAATGGAAAATTTCCATATATATATATAGATAGATACTTCACGCTTTCTTAGAAACGTATAATTTTACGTCAAATTGAATAACAACACCCGCTTTATACCCATACACACACGCACACACCCACCCACCCACGCACGCACGCTCACACCCACACAAGCAAACTAAAAATAACAATACTTTCGTAACCTGCAAACAAAACAAGCCACAAGTGTCGGTTGACGCCATGTCACATATTACTGTACGTTCAAAAATACACCGGATTAGACAGAAATGCATGATGAAGAGGGCACGTATACATGTACTGGTTATCTTATAAATTTTCACTATTAAGTACACTTTTAATATACAGTTACAACTATTAATATACACTGTGAAGACTGGAAATTATAAGTTCAATATTGATTCTGTTACATGTTCTCACTTGCGTTTCGACATGTACACTGAGACGAAAAATGTATAGGCAGTGGTGTAGCTGTAGCGTCTAATAGGGTAGTAGCGACCTCTCGTGCTAGTCGACTTACAAGGGTAAATTTACATGGGCGTCCCGAAAATGCGGAACTTGAGCGCGAAATTCGAACTTCAAAATTCGCAAAAGAATTTAAGTTTTTTAATTAAATCATTAATTAAAAAACTTAAATTCTTTCACATAAAAGTCTTATAAAATTCGATAGAAATTTATTTTCAGTGCTTTCTGATTTTATCAAATTAATTTCAATTATTATTAATATTTTCAACAATACTTTTAGATTCGCGGGGTTTTCAAATTCGAAAATGCGCTCCAAAAATTATTTTTATAAAATGCAGCTTATTAATAATCCTATAATTATATTAAAATAAATTTTGTTAATATTTATTTCATATATATAACTTATCTTACTCTTATAAAATACTAAACCTCGTTTTTTTTTGATTATTTAAACAATTTTCATGAAGCTACATGCATGCCATTTTGCATTTCGGCTTAAAATAGTATCTACTAACACGATACAAAGCGGCATGTAAGAAGAACTCACGGCATTTTTCAGTTTTTTTATTTCAATTGAAAAATTGATGTTTATTCAATTTTTCCACAATTTTGGTATGTTGGGCTGTAGCTACATGTATGCCATTTACGTTCATGACTTGAAATAATGTAAATTCATGAAATACAAAACGGCATGCAAAAACAAGTCACCTAAATTGCACATTGAACTAATTTTGCAACATCCTGTTGTGCATGCCAAATTTCCTACTATTAAATAATGATACAAATTAAGTATACTTTCAATGGCATGCAGTTTGGAATCACGGAAAATCGGAGTTCAATTTTTACAGAGTTTTCCGGAAATTTTCCACCGTTGGTCATACGAGGGGTGCATGCCAATTTTTCCAGAGTGTTTTTATTACAAAAACTTCCATTCTTTACATCGGCATGCAATTTGAAAACACGGAATTGCCCTTTAATTTTTTTTCAGGTTTTCAGAACCCTTTGATCATCTTGGGCCGCTGCGGGGTGCATGCCATCAATTATTAGAGCTTCAATTTGCTTGAACTTCCGTATATTACAATGGTATGCAGTATACTATCACGGAATAACACGAAAATTCGCTACATAAAGAAAAGCGCTTTTCCTTACGAAGAGGACGCGCGGGAGGGGGGGGGGGGCTAAAGCCCCGACAATCTTTGATATTTTGGGGTTAGTTATCAAGTCTTAAAAAGGCATGCACGACAAAATCGTGGAACGTCACCTGTCACCAGCTCCCGGTCTATTACGACCACTAAACCAAAGAAACAATAATTTAAAAAAAATTGTCTAATGCAGTAATGCTTCAGAGTTATGTTAAGCTAGTAAGTTAATATAACGCGATAGTAATTTCTTGCTTATGATGGGCTTTATGTTCACCTCTTAAAGAAGTCTAGGATAGCATTACAATTGCAAAAATATGCACAATTTACAGTCACAGTTAACACGCATATTACTTTTTAGGAAAGTCCTTATCAACATCTAGCACCAGTTTTTCGAGAACCCGATAGTATGATGAATACACAGCCTCCAGCTACATACAACACAGGCGTGGGTGGCAAGTATGGTGCTTCTTGCACGACTATAATACCGGTGAGTTGAAAATTTTAAATGTCAATAAATCTTTTGTTTGCAAAAGTTTAGAGCAGGGTAAAAAACAATGGCAACATTATCTAAAAATCTCTAAAACTAGTCAAATACTGCATTTACATATACATTAATACTACATTTCGGCATATACCAATCTTGTGTATGTGATACAAATTTATTATTAAGCATAATTCATATGCTAAAATTTCATGACCGTAATAATTTTTATTTAGGTAATTAATGCTGTTTCATATATTTTTTGTCAAATGTATGGACTGAAGTCTATACAATATCAACATCATTGATAATAATGTACAAAATTGTCTAAAATTTCAACATACCTTGATTTTGCATCTAAATCAATTATTTAAATTTACTCACATTTAAAGCAAAGTTGTATTTACCTAACAGTAAGGCTCAATTTTGTTAAAATTCGAACAAAATACATATGAAAATAAAAAAAAAACAATCCAGTAGATTTATTTTTGGCAATTGAAAACTGTTACTGTTATTGATATGATGTGATGATAGAGTGACGAGACACGTTAGTCCCTAGATGTGAGAATGTAAGTTAAGACTGTGCCCGATAAAGTGCTTCAGTTATTTTGTGACTTTTTCTTTTTATTGTCAGTCTAATTCTAAGTAACTAAATAAAATTCCTTACAGCTTATAATACTTGAAAGAAAGAAATATATTAACCCTTCAAGCCTAATAAAAATCCCTTGCAGTCGCATGCGCCCGGCAAATGCCGAGCGGTCGCATGCGACCGCACGCACCCACATCACTTAAACCGTTAAAACTTATATTTAGAGACAACTTTTCTAGACGAAGTTTGGCATTATAAAATCTACTCTAAACAAAATTCAGGTTTTACTTCATTACAAAAAGATTTTATTGTATTTTTATAACAAAAAAAAATATACCAAGCGAATGTCGGCAGCGTGAAAATCACAATTATTTCAACATATGTTACTCACAATTATTTACGTAAAAAGATAAATTATATTCAAACAAAAACTTTCATTACAATTTTATAATAAAACACTAGAAAAATCCAAAAATCAACACAATAACATTCACGCGAAAATGGCGTACGAAATGAACGTAAATTTTAAATAAATATCTACAGGATAACTATTTTTTATTGCACTAGAGGATAGAAAATTTCATATTAGTTCTATAATGCCAAACCTCTTCATAGAAAAGTAGTCTCTATATAGTCTTTATGGCCTCATGAGACCGCTAGGTGTTTGAGAGGTTAAAAAGTATTAAACAATTCAAACTACGCAGTAGTCCTTTGTTTCTATGTAGGTACCATATCACCTTCTTACCCATTTCTAGCAGCAGTGCACCGCTCGTTACGGGTCTGAAGGGTATAAATAGCCAGTATAATAATTACATGCTGTGTGGAATGTCATCTTAGTTCTCCAAGGCGGCAAAGCAACTTTACGCTTTTGTTTGAAGTTGGTTACAAGCGTCCATAGGTTGTGATAGCCACCTACAACCTTTTTTTTTTTACATGGGGAAGTGCCTACGCATACCCGCCTCGCGGGGCCAAGGACGAGTTATGTCGGACTCGCACCGACTAAAACCCCATGGTGTTCCACCTTCGTCGCATATTGGCAGGGCCACGGGAACGCTTTTGCACACATCCGCAGCCCCACCAGCGCCTGCCGCCCTATGGCAGCACCTCCTCGGGAGAGGAATATTCCTCCCCGTTCTCCTTCCCATGAAAAGCGCACCAGAACACATGGCGCGCCTTCTTCCACGGCCTTCAATTACACCTGAGCAACGGACGCCCCCGTGTCCGATACGCGAAGGCCATGAAGCCAGGAAAAACGAGCGTTTAGAAGCACTAGCCTTCCTGACCCCAGCGGCGAATCTGGTCTATGGCTCCACCGCCAACCAAGATTCGGCTGCGGAGGGTAGGGAGAGCGGTGCCTCGCAATACCGACAATCCTCTTCCCCCGCAGCCCCACTACCACCGCATCAACGGTGCGGCCCCGTTTGAGTCGCGGAGGATAGGGCGAGTGGCGCATCGCCATACCAACACTCCTCTTCCTCCGCGACTCCACCTCGGCTGCAGCGGTAGGGGGTGAGGACACCCCTCTCGCCGCAGTCCACCAGCACACATCCGAAGTGGGCTCGCCAAACCCACTCGGAGTGGCCACCTCGGGCCAGCCATGTGGGTTCCTCTTTGTTCACCGCGGGTGACCAAGCCACGGCTACTAAGCTCCCCGCCACGACAAGGCGGAAACCCGTTCGGGGGGGGGGGGGGGGGGGAGCCACCTACAACCTAACCTAACCCTTGGTCAAGTGTCAGTTTGTCACTTCAATAAAAAAAAACTGGATGACGTTATTATTGATATAATTATGAACTTGTATGTGGTAGAACCATACTGCAGTTATATTATGGCTGTAGCATGAACGGGTCGATAGGGGAGGAACGACGCTCTCGCAGAATACCAGCATGAAAAAGCAGTTTAATGCTGCTGTGTTTCGTGTGGTGAGTGTAGAGAACTGGAGATGCTTTTTACTGGAAATGAGGCATTCCATTTTAGCACTCAGGGGTGACGTATCTACATTTTGTTTCTTATTCATGGGTAGATGTAGATGTCTGTCACAGCATCCACTTACCATCAGGTGGATTGTGTGCTCGTTTGTCACCCTTATTTAAAAAAAAATATTGCTTCTTGGTGACAGAGATATATTAGATGGGGCTACTTACAGGCACACTTAAGCTATCGGTATATTTGTCCTGCTTACTTAATAGTTACCAATAGTATTCGATATCATAATCAATTTATAGTACCACATGTTGTGTAAGATATGGGCTCAACGGGCTAAGTCCTCAGCGCAGCAATCGTAAAGTGGAGTAAGCCATAAACTTTACAGTACCCGAGCAACCCTGGTTCGATTTCTGTCGACACTTTAAAATTGTTAATTGAAATTTTAAGTGCTGATGAATTTTAAGTTACTTGCTCTTCGTTAGTTAGTTAGTTATTGTGATGGAACAATAGTCCGCCAGCATGCAATGGTGTAGCTGGGCGGGATATTACTCCATTACCCATCCTTAGAATTTAGAGGAACCTGTCTCAAGCTTTGAGACGTATATGGGCCGTGACTTCACTTTTTCCTTTTTTACGGTACAAACCTATCGCTAATATTTATTACTAGAGGAATGGTACAAGACTGCCTCTAGTGTGGTCCAGCCCTATAATGCATTCCTTTTTACGTCTTTGACCCGTATCGTATGTGTGGTATAACCACACTGCAGCTGTATAAATATAGATATACCACGAATGGGTTATCTTGAAAGAGTAAGGACCACATTTTCATAGAATTCTGCATAATATAGCAGTAAAATAATGCTGTATGCATAATAGAGCTTTTTGTTGCTCAGAGGGTAAACGTTCGCTGTAAATTTCACAGTTTGATAGTAACGCGGGTTCAATCTCCATATGCATCAATGAAATTGTTAATTGTAATTTTAAGTGCTCATTTACCACATGCTCGGTGGTGAAGCATAACGGAAACCCTGTATGTTTGAGGAATAAAAACATATTTTGAAGACATATGGAGTCCGCCAACATGCATTGGGGCTGCGCGGTGAACCCTTCCTTTACATAAAACCCTCACACAAATGAGAAACGGCCTTCTGGGCGCGAGTGGGATGTTTACAGGCTGTAACTTTAACTTAAGAACTTTGTCTACAATGAGCATAGAAAAGTCTTTCTAGTAATTAATACGTTTCGTCGACGTCCTCAGGGATGACAGTATATTTTCGATTTTTGATCGACGACAGATGTCGATGTCTATCTATGGGCCATGGCATCCACTTACATTCAGGTGTACTGTGTTTATTTATACAAAAAAAAATTACTTTTACTTGTATATAAAATAACCTTTTACGAAAATATTACAGGTATATTGGATTCCATCTTGCTTTGGGGCTCTCTACATCATTGATACAGCAGATATAGCGGTAGCTACGATCCGGTATAACATGGTGTATGTTATATGTAGCATAGCTTTTTGCCATGCACTTTTACAGTAAAATGCTATCTTGAAACATTAATATATCAAGATTGCTAACGAGATCATTTTATGATGATTCTCGAAACCAGAGAATGGTCGCTCTGAGGAGTCGAAAACGGAATTGCTTTCAGTGTATTATATTATGTCCAGGATTTTCTGTTTTGTACGAACCTATGCTTCGTCAAAGTTGGTCGATTTCTTCTTTATAAGTTATTTAGTGTTTACGAAAGGTCATTACAAAATACAAGAGAGCACATTTTGTTTTCTTTTTTATATAGAAAAGGGGACAAACGAGCATGCGGCTCACCCGATGTTAAGTGACGACCGCCGCCCATGATCAACCGCAACACCAGGGGAATTGCAGGTGCGTTGCCGGCCCTTTAGAAAGGAGTAAGCTCTTTTCTTGAAGGTCCCCAGGTCGTATCGGTCCGGAAAAATCGCCGGTGGTAAACTATTCCACAGAGAGGTCGTACGCGGAAGAAAACTCTTTGTGAAACGTACAGTGGTGGACCGCCAAGCATCCAGATGGTGTGGATGGTATCGGGACGTTTGCCGCGTAGTGCGTTCACGAAATTTGGCGGCTGGGATTAATCCGAACAATTCCTCAGAGCACTCCTCATGGTATATGCGAAAGAAAATGCAAAGAGATGCCACATCTCTGCGCAGCGCCAGTGAATCGAGCCTATCGGAAAGCACTCGGTCGTCGACGATTCGAGCCGCTCTGCACTGGATGCGGTCAAGTGGAAGGAGCTGGTACTGGGGAGCTCTAGCCCAGAGATGGGAACAGTATTCCATGTGCGGCCGAACCTGCGCATTGTAAAATTGCAGGCGGTGTGCCATTAATGGTGGTCTAATTGTAATTAGTATACAGAACACAACAGCTGCAGCCAATTTTTCGACCAGATTTTAATTACATTTAATACAAGCGACAGTAGCCTAATGGCAGGGCGCGGACCGCAAACTCTATAAGGTCGTGGGTTCGAATCCACCATTCGACTACTGGCGTGAACCACTCGTAACACAAGCAATTTAAGCTTACCACGAGTGGTTAACGGGAATGTTAGTAATGTTTATATAAAAAAAAAATTGTGAATTCGGACAATATGTTATTTTTTTAAATCCACTGCTTAACATACATAGACCAGCAGCTCTCCAGCTTTTCTCGGCACTACACCCGTATTTAATTGGTATTTTGTGTTGTGTTTAAGTTTAGCTGGTCTTGTGGTACAGGGCCATTTAGCCACTAATATCGACTGCGATGTATTCTCGTTGTCGAAATAATTCATGTTGCTTTGATACTATCAAGATAGTATTCCATAAAGCAATTCACAGCAGAATCTAGAAGGTCTAGATGACCCTTCTAGTATTTGTTATATTTGTGTAACATTACAATCTATTGTGAACATGCTTTGTCCGCAGAATACCAATCCTTCATCTTACAATGTTTCGTCTAGTTTCGGTAATGATTATGATCAACAAGGGATTTATAATACGAACGATTCTCAATCCAATTCCATTTCTTACTCCGCAAAAAAGCCATTTTATCAATCTTATAACGTAAATCAAGATAATTCAAGATATTTTCAAAAGAAAAACGATGAACCACTTACATCAGACAATCGTCGAAGCTTGGACAAGCATACTCGTGATACGAGCGAGCGCAGCAAAAGAATGCCCCCTATAAGGAACGAGCGGGAGGCCTATGAATCCCACAATCGTTCCGATACTTCGAATGAAAGGCGATTGGACGATTGGAAACGTTCTGATGATTTTTCTAGACGCTCGGATAGTTATATTAGCTATCCTGTAGACAGAAATAATAAGCGCAGGGACAATCATACTGATAGAAATCAAGGACAGGTTGGAGACGATTTTTCTAGACACTCGGATAGTCGCAATAGCTATCCTAGTGATAGAAATAATAAACGCAGAGACAATTATAGCGATAGAAACCAAAGAGAGGCTGGAGACACGTACAATCGCTCCTTTGATAGAAATTACAAAGACGACGTGCGTGGTAAAAGAATAGGTAACAACTATTCACAACATTCAAGTAGTGGTTACAATACTTACAGCTCTGACCATAGCGGTCAGTATGATAAAAGTGCATATTCAGGTGGTGACTACAATCGTCCCAAAAGCCTGAATCCTAGACAGACCGGTAATAATTCCTTTATTAATCGGAGTAACTCACAAGGCAAAAACGAATTCGGCCAATCATACAAAGCAAACCCCAGAGGTATCGCATCTGACCAAAGCTTCGGAACCCGTAAGCTCGATATTAATAATAAACAAAACCCTGCGCGATATCAACAACAGTTTCCTTACAGTCGAGGAAATGATTTTAAGGAATCACGTAAACCGATGAATGCGCCACCACAAGTTCCGCAGTATTCAAAAAATAAGGAAGTTCCTCAGGCTCTTAATAAAGATTCAAAGTCTAAAAAGAAAGATATTTCGTCTCTCACCCCGCAAGAACTCAAAAATAGGGATGAAACTTGGCGTAATCAAGCTACCTCGGCTATAGCAAAAGATTTAGTAATGAACTGTGGTAATACTGATCCCTTCCTTAAGCAGTACAATTTCATGAATTATTTGAAGCCTTTTATTAAGTCTCGAATAAATGAGATGATAGGCAAAAGAGTGGCTGTGCCTTTAGAACAAATATTAGATGAATATAATCAAAGATATCGTCCGGGTACCCAAAAAGCTTTTCTAAATGATATAATAAAGCAGTTTCAAGAGTCAAGTACAGCAGAACGTGGAGACGTTAGTCGAGGTGTTGTTGAAGCATCAGGTAAGGTTTAATATTCATCTGATTCTATATTAATTAATAAGTCTTATGACTAGAGACCTAAAGGTTATAAGACCTTTATTGGTCTGGGTTTATTAATAAAACAGCTGTTTTATGAATGAACTATAGTTCATTCATTATTTAAACTACAACAACGTCAAAATTGGTGTCAAGACAGAATTGCTTAGACGCATACTACAGAAAATGTGTTCAGCAGTCAAACGACTGCAAAACTAAAGTATGAGTGAGTGTTAATAACACATTTCTGTAGTTTTTGATCCTGGACTGCCGTAAGCATAATTAGGTGGGATGTTGAAGTGTTAGTCACTATAATGTATTACAAAAATAAAAAAGCCGTTCTACTAATACTAAAGATATTTCGGCTGGGCTACCAAAGAATCGTAAAACAAAATTTTAGTTACGTTTATTTCTTAGTAGATTACGATTTGAAGCTCCTTAAAAGCAGGACCACAGCCTAAGAACATACAGTCAGACATCGCGTTTGTTGTTGTCGGAAAAGCCGACACTAACAATAAACTGCTAGGGTTGTCAGAACGGCAAGTAATAAAAAAATGAAAAACTGATTTTATTTGTCTTTTACTTGTCTTTAAATGAAGACGATCCACAGTTTTTACCGCATATTTAGCGTGATTTTTTTATATGCGTGACAGGAGAACCCTAGCGCACAGGTCCCGAGTGACTAACGGCTGCTCGGGAGCGCCCCGACAGCTTCTCTCGCCTTGCACGGCACAATTGTCCCGTCTAGAGGCCTTCGATGACCGACTGTTAGTAGTAGTTAGACTGTGGCAGGACTTTGGCAGGTCTCTACTCTTTTGTTGTCGACTTCCACGCATTCAAACTAAATGGTTTGCTTCGTCCATATAATGCGGACAACACAGGAGTGGAATAACTTACCAGCTTCGGTCTTCCCGCTCGATTATGCACACTCTTGTTATTACACCCACATGTGTAAGAGTGAGTAGGAATGTTATACCATAGGTTGTCATCGTCGTGCAGTCCGCGCCCGCGGGGTTACTGGGGTGGGCAAGGACGAGGTAAAACGGTCTCAAAGGGGAAGCGAGCGGTATGCGGGAGGGCGAGCGAGCACGCCGCGTGCTCCGGAGCGCCAGTCGCCGGCGGTTGCTTGCAACGGTTACTTGTCCAATTTTAGTTAGTTACAATCATCTTCGGATCCGAAGATGATTAAACCGGTTGGACGACAATCAAAAGAAATTGTGTATAACGTATACATGTATTATTTATTTGCGCAATGCGCGGGCTGCAAGAACCTGCGGGGTTGATACCTAAGTATATTTAAAGCAAAAAAGCACTCCGTCTATTGGAGAAAACCGCATGAAAATCCGTTCAGTAGTTTTTGATTTTATCATACAGACAGACGCGGCGGGGGACTTTTTTATAATATAAAGTGATTTAATATTATATCGAATTCATGACTACATCACACAATACTTCGTAATAAATCTAAATATATCCATATTAATCTCAAGACAACTCGATCCCAAATCCCTACGTGTGTAGCCGTGGGCGTGGCCTCGTGCACGAGCTGCGAGCTACCTCGTTCCTCTCCACCCTGTACCCCGTGGGCACGGACTGCACGACGTTGACGGCCTATAAGTACAGTGCGACTTACAATCTAGGGCTTATCACTTAATATCCGATAGAATTGTTGTCAAGCATTGGCTTATAATAATAAGGTATTTTACCTTTAAGTGTTATGACGACGATTTGTCATATTATTACCTTAATAGGTTAATGTACTGCCATCCCTATTGATAGCCACAAACAACTGCAGTAGAATCTGGTTGTTTTCTGGCATTTGAAGTGATTAGAATCACTGTGTTGTGTACAGCTGTCCATAGAACTTCGCAACTCACCTCCAGCCTCAGTAAACTTTCTGGCAGACATCACAAAAAAAAACTTTGAGTTTTTGGTTATGTTCAGTGATTATTGCAATACTGGAGATCTGTGTATATACAGAGCATTTCTCGCCTCCATCTCCACTGTGGGTCTTGCATGATTCAAGTCTATGGAAAGTTTCTATGAGGCACTGGAATACGGTATAAAGTTGAGAGTTAACTTTTTAAACCTGTCCATCTTATTGCTTATGCTCAATGTGTATCTAATCATCCAGTATTGCGGCCATTTTTGATTTTTGTGATCAAAAATGTCTCATCAAATACTGAAGTAAATTTCATTTTATTTGGGTACAGTATTTGAGCTAATATACATGGCCAAACTTAGTGCCGCTTCTTGTTATAGAGTTCATTGTAGAACTTTTTATGAAGACAGCTGCCGCCTTTTTGTATTTTGTTACCCTGTTACAAATTTCTCTACTCTCGTTTGTGTTTTCCTTTTAACAACTATTTTTGATCTGAAGTCTCTCACATATTCAAGTATACTCAACACCTAGTCAATTTGGACTACACTTCAGACAATCAATTTGAATGCAGCATGAGATCTGGTGATTGGGTTTCTTAAAAAGAATACCCCATGGCTGTCGAACAACTTATTAACAAGCAATCGAAAGATTTCGGAGCTTTATATGTGGTTACACAAAGCAAGAGTAATATGTTCAGCCAAATTTTATGCATTTAAATTGTAGGTGTTTTGAATAAGTTGAATATACTGGCTGGTAATGGGAAGTCGTGTGAGGCTTATAGTATTGTTATTGTCAGTCCACTGGCGAAACAATGCGTCTACCATCCGCTGATGGTATTGTCTTAAACTTTCCCTCTCTTCGAAGAAAGTAAGCGATGCAACCAACTCATTAACAGATATTAGCATTGCACTAACGATGTATTGTGTTGTACATTTAAAATATTTACCACTTCTACAATTGACAAAAAATTGTTCAAATCTAGTGTACTTTTATTATATTACACTACTCCCAAATGGTTTACCATGTACATTGGTTTAAAATATTATTTATTAGTAGTATAGTATTAACATATCAAAAATGGTTTTCTTTGGATTAAGAAATAAAGTTAAGTTTGATTACAAGTTAATTTTGATACCTTTAGTTGTATGGAGGGTAGAGGTAAGGAGGAACTACCTCATGTGGCACAAGATGACAAAGTTTCCAGCTGTAAAGTGTAAGTTAAAAAAAACGGTTCAAAAACCTTCCACACAATGGCGCTTACGTATAGCAATACAGGATGATATGAATGTAGCTGTTGTGTAATTTTTGACTAATTATTTTTTATGCCAATAAAAATATTTTCAAACGTTTTTATGATTAAATTTATCTTTAATTTTTATATTTTTATCATCTTAAAATTAACATTTGTGAATATTTTTAACGTTTTGTTTTGATGAACTTTTGTTGTGTAATTATGAACAAAAATTTTTATTATAAATATTAAATTTAAAATTATTAATTTATAATTTATCCTGCTGCTATTGTAGCGCTACCCCAATTCAACGGACACTCATACACAGAGGTATAGTATGTGCCAAATCGATTGAGAAAAATGGACCATTGTCCATTTTTCTTTCACCTTTCGGTCGTTTAACCAGGGGTTACAAACCTTCAATATATAGGCACATTTTAGACGTAGTACTTTCTTTATTTATAATGATTTTTTTAATTATTTTTTTATAATGATTAATGTAATATATATTTATTAACTACAAGGTGTCTCAAAAGAAAGTTCACATTTAAATCTTTTTTTAAAAGAAAAGTCTTAGCTTTATTGAAAAAATGTTTATTTTATATTGAAGTACACTGTTTGGGAATTTATTTTTTAAAAATAACATTGTCCAAATGTAAACCGTTGCGCTCTCGGCATTCATTTAGTCGGGCACTAAAATTGCCTATGACAGCTCGGCAGGTAGTCTCCGTGATGGCTGCCATTTCATGACGGATATTTTCTTTTAATTGTGCCAGGGAAGTCGGTTTATTAGCGTAAACTTTTGATTTGACATAACCCCACAGGAAAAAATCCATAGGCGTTAAATCGGGACTCCGTGGAGGCCAATTTATGTCACCTCGCCAGGAGATTAATTTGTTCGGAAAAATTTCTCGAACTCGAGGCAGAGATCTGTTGGACGTGTGTGAAGTTGCTCCATCCTGCTGGAACCATGTTCTTTGGTTGTAACCAGGAAAGTTTTGCAGTTGGGGTACGAAAAACTCGTCTAACATCTCCACATAACGCTCTGAATTCACTGTGAGTGTGCGTCCCCTTCCATCTTCAAAAAGTAAGGGCCGATAATTCCTCGCGCCGACATCGCTGCCCATACGGTGACTTTGGGTGAATGTAGCGGTTTCTGATGTTTTTGTTTTGGGTTGGTTGCACTCCAGTAACGACAATTTTGCTTGTTTACATGCCCATTCAGGTGAAAATGGGCTTCATCGGAAAACAAGATGTTGGTGAACGTTGGAAAGCGCTCAATCATCTGATTTACAAAGGCAAGCCTCTGACCAGCATCTTGAGGCTTCAGTTCTTGCACTAACTGAATTTTGTACGGGTGCAGCTTTAAATCTTTGTGTAAAATGCGGCATAATGAAGATCTGTGCACATTTAAAGCAACAGCACGCTTCCGAATCGAGAGGTTTGGATCATCTCGAATAGACTGAGTAACACTGTCCACGTTTTCGGCTGTTCTTGATGTTCTTGGTCGCCCAGATTTTGGTTTCTCCAGAGTTGACCCAGTCTCTTCAAACTTCTCAACCCATTTTGCAATGAGACGAGTGCTAGGCGCATCATTTAAGTGACGAATATGTCGAATACTGCAGAATTTTCTACGCGCTACAGTCGCCGAATTACCGTTTTTGTAAAACTCACGTACGCACAACGCACGGTCCGCACCAGAGAAACGCTCCATAGCGACTAAATTCCCAAGAGCCAGACTACCGACTGACATACCCCCCGCGCCCCTCAGAATAGTTGCTTTCGCGTAATAAGATAAGCAAATGTGAACTTACTTTTGAGACACCTTGTATTATTAAAAAGTTATGTAAAATATTGCTGTAGAAGAAAAATCATCTATTGTTATAAAGTACTTCATTCATTTAACAACAAAAAGCATTAATTTATAACACATTAAGGATTCGAGTGATAACGACACCGAATTATTCGTACCTTTTTACCTTTTTTTTTAATTTCCGTACTTTTTCAAAAGATAAAACTTTATTTTCAATATTATACATATAAGAACTTTATTTTATTCGATGCAATCATCATTCGTATCTCGGACCGGTACAAAAAAAGTGACGCATCTCTGGCTGCCATTGTCACGTTTCTTTTAGAACGAACTGACGTAACGCGCGTTTTGTTTATTTTAAAGGGATGACTGCAAAAGCTCAATATGGTGATAATATTGCTTCAAATATTTTTTTTAATATGAGGCTGTTATTAAATGAATTGCCGCGTTACTTGCCATAAATTGCAATATAAAATATAACACATTTTTCGCGATGTACCGTAAGATTTTACGATGTTTATAGGAACCACAGACAATATTATTTATGAAACAAAACAAAACATATGTGCTGACCTAGAAGTGTGAATAATATCAATATTTAAATATTTTTATCACATCTAAATTGAGATTTGGTAAGTTACGCCTTTTGACATTCGCCTCATATCTGAGGTCATTGTCCGTTTTTCTCATTCGATTTGGCACATACACGCAATAGTCATCCTTACCTCTAGGCCTCTAGCCTCCATATTTAGTTGTCAACATTTTAAAACAATCCATTAAAGTTTTTAAGAGTGTATTTGACAAGGCTTCATGCAGTTTGGCGACCAATTACATTAATATAAAATATTTTTATGCAAGTATGTATATGAACACTAAAAACACTTATAACAGTACAATGAAAACTATTAATGAGGACTACAAGCACTGCCATTAGGGTTGTACTCATGGTACCCATTTGTTGAACATAATTAAACTGTAGTATTATGTCATTTCCCTAATTGAATATTTGTTTAATGACACCATTCGTTAAATTTAATTTATTAAACTGATGTTATTTTTAACACGTGACGTAGTTATTATTAAATTTATTGGAAAATAAAAACAGATTGGCTCAAAGGCTTAACACTTATTCCAAATATAACGCCTTTGATTTAAAATTTTAAAATAAATCTTATGAAATTTCGCAGGAAGTGCAACTGTTGTAAATAAAGGCATTAAGCGCGTTGGAAACGATGACATCGGAAACCTAAATCCAGCAAAGAAATCTAAAAATCAATCAAATCTACATCCATATAATGTACCACTGAACCAACAAATTTCTACTTCAGAGCGACTTCCTAAATATCCGGATGGTGGTAAGTGATCACAATTTAATTTTTTTATAGAATAAGTGCTACAAACAAGCACACGGTTCACCTGATGGAAAGTGGATGCTTTGGTGGGTTTACAATTGCACTCGATTAGCCCCTCAGCCCCCAAGCGGTCGAATTCGACCGCGGCGCTATTCCGTCAAAATTTAAGGGTTCGAATTCGACCGCGCACTTTAAACCGTTAAAACTTATATTTAGAGACTACTTTTCTATGAAGAAGTTTGACATTATATAATCAATATGAAGTTTTCTATCCTCTAGTGCAATAAAAAGTCAAGTTATCTCATGGATAATTATTTATAATCTACGTTAATTCCGTACGCCATTTTCGCGTAAATGTTATTGTGTTGATTTTTGGATTTTTCTAGTGTTGTGTTTTAGTATTGTATATTTATTATTATAAAATTGTAATAAAAGTTTTTGTGTGAATATAATTTATCTTTTTACGTAAATCATTTCGAGTAATATATATTGAAATAATTGTGATTTTCACACTGCCGACATTCGCTTGGTATGTTTTGTGTTTATCAAAATACAACAGCCTTTTTGTAATGAAGTAAAACCTGACTTTTATATAGAGAATTTTGTATAGATTTTATAATGCCAAACTTCTTCATAGAAAAATTGTTTCTAAATATAACTTTTAATGGTTTTAAGTGCTGTGGGTGGGAGCGGTTGCATGCGACCGCTCGGTATTTACCGGCCGCATGCGACTACATCGGATTTTTATGGGGATCGAAGGGTTAAGAATCAAAATGTAGATGCGTTTTAACCCCAGAGAACTAAGATAGAATGCCTTGTTTCCTGTTAAAATGGTCTCCTGTTCTCTACACTCACCGTACGAAACATATAGCAGCTTTAAGTTACTATTTTACGCTGGTATTCCGTGAGAGCATGCTCCTACCCCGGTGGAGCAGATCCATTCGTGCTACAACCATAATATAGCTACAACATGTTCTACCACATTCAAATTTAATAAAGAAAAATAATTAACCTGAATTATTTTTATTTCTTTCTGATATTACACAAACTCATTATATGGTTGTAGCACGAATGGGTCGACTGCAAATGAAAATCAAATTTAATACTATAAAAATAACACATCCATAAAATTGGGCGTAAAATAATCGTTTTTCTTTAAGAGCATCGTTTTAGTATTATTAACGTAAATGTTGTCACTCTGGAGATGAATCTTATTATAATCTACCGACTTGTCGCACTTAAAAAATTTCAAGCCATTTGTATAGTTCATTTCAAATAGGATGGCAGGATTCCACTTGAGACTTAGCAATTACACCTGTAATGTTAATCTATTGTTGTGTGATTATTTTGAAACACTTGAAGTTAAGCATCTGTTGATAATACTGAACCAGTATAGCTGGAATTACGAATTTTGGTACTTGAACATTAAAACAAATTAAATTGTAGATAAAAAACCTTTATTACTTTTAACTTAACTATTTTAAATACTTATAACAACTTGTTAATATTTTGTTTAATCAATCACTCTGAAGAACATTCATCGGTATCTGTGTCCTCACACGTATTTATTATAAATGGTTGTATCCGATCCCTCGAAAATTCGTTTTCCACTCTTATGACACGGTCACAAACATTCTTCCAAAAAAATGGGATTTGTAGAATTTATTACGTTTCGTACACTTTGGATTACATTTTCCCCTATTGTAGACGTAACGTTTGACTTACGGACAGTTTTTTTTTATTTGACTCCACATTAACTCAATTGGGTTCAATATACAATAATAAGGTGGGAGTCTCATTATCTCATGACCAGCCTCTTGTGCTAATTCATCGACCACATATTTTTTTTCAAAATAATTGTTTTTGACTACTTCCAACAAACTTTTAATTGTTGATTTCTCTGGCACAGAAATGTTATGACTTCTTAAAAAACTTATTATGTCACTTTTCCTAGTGTTTGTGCTGGGAATTTTTTCTATTTGTCGGCTGTGGTATGGTGCGTTATCCATAACAATCACACTGCTACTGGGAATATTAGCCAAAAGCTGATCAGTGAACCATTTCTCGAATAATCCAGAATCCATATCTTCATGGTAGTCTGCACTAGAGCTTTTCAAATGTTTGCTAGAGGTCAGTAAAGCCCCTGGTATCCAGCCCTGTTCACCGTACCTGCGTGTAATATTATTAAACGTTTACCCCTAGAACATGGAGCTTTAGTTGTACAACTTGGTGAATTGTCTGTGTACCCTATTTTTTAGAGTATCGTGAGTGTCAAACCATGTTTCGTCTAAATATATTATATTTTTTCCTGCCGACCTTCGTAAACGTATTTCATTAATAAATTTGTCCCTTAGTAATAAAAGTCGGTGACTTTCCATTACAGTTCTTCTTTCATCTAATTTTCCATACTTGAATCCAAGTTTTTTTAATAGTCTCCAAAGTGTAGTTTCTGAATATTCAAAACCAGCTTCACTTCTCATCAATGATTGATAAATCTCACGTAACGTTGGAATCTCATTGTTGAGGTAAAAATTGTAAATAGTCCTCCTCACATGTTCCTCTGTAAAATTATCAATTCTTTTAAAACTTATCTTGGTCCGTTTACGAGGAAGATGATTAGATCCTGCTGACACTATTCTACAAACAGTTCTTATAGGCACGTTTGTTAATTCCGATGTCTCTTTAATCACTCCCTTATCATCCATGCGTTTCAAAAGCTTATTGTAAACACTCAAAACTATGTCTTGAGCGTCTGAACTTAAATGTCTTTTTCTACGCTGAAAACTATTTTCATCACTTGTAGATGCACTATTTGATATTTCCCATGGTCGAAACATGTTTATTTGTACGTCTGAATAATAACGAAATTACAAGACGACTGAATTTTTGACAACAATGTCATCGTGTATTTAACAAAAGCATCAAAACTTGTTTGCTGCCACAAAAATACCACGTCAGGATAAGGTCTTCCCAGGTATCGGTTGTAAATACCACTTCTTTTGTTATCGCCTAATGACCGCTTCAAGTACAATCCTGCCATGCCATCCAGTCAAACGTTACGCCTACAATAGGGGAAAATGTAATCCAAAGTGTACGAAACGTAATAAATTCTACAAATCCCATTTTTGGAAGAATGTTTGTGACCATGTCATAAGAGTGGAAAACGAATTTTCGAGGGATCTGATACAACCATTTATAATAAATACGTGTGAGGACACAGATACCGATGAATGTTCTTCAGAGTGATTGATTAAACAAAATATTAACAAGTTGTTATAAGTATTTAAAATAGTTAAGTTAAAAGTAATAAAGGTTTTTTATCTACAATTTAATTTGTTTTAATGTTCAAGTACCAAAATTCGTAATTCCAGCTATACTGGTTCAGTATTATCAACAGATGCTTAACTTCAAGTGTTAAAGCAATAAAATAATCACACAACAATAGATTAACATTACAGCTGTAATTGCTAAGTCTCAAGTGGAATCCTGCCATCCTATTTGAAATGAACTATACTGTACTATGTCATAAAAATTTCAAGCCATTTGTACTGTACTATGTCATAAAAATTTCAAGCCATTTGTACTGTACTATGTCATATAAATTTCAAGCCATTTGTACTGTACTATGTCATAAAAAATAGCTGTATAATATCAGCCAGCCGTGTAGTGGTAGTTCTTAATATCATCCGGTGAGTAATGTAAGAAGCGACATACGGGAATGAAACATAGTGAAGGGCAACAAAATCTTCCTGATAAACATGCAAAATAATAAAATACTGCGGGTGACAAATTTCCCCTCAATAAGGGGCCGTCCATTATTCACGTGATTTTTTAGCATTTTTAACAACGGGAGGGGGGGCCCTTGGTGATACGTGGTAAGGTTTAAGACTAACCCCGCCCGCCCCCTGCACTCAAAATCACTTGTATTTTTTTAGTACCTATAAAGTATAATCTAGTTTTACTCTGAAATTATGGACCATGATAAAAATGTCTAGACAGAAAGGTTGCAGGTTATTTTTGATTGGCATAAAAATAATACTAAAGGAATGTAATCATGCGAAAAACAAATATTGTGCTAGTACATGAACAAATGTAATGTACATTGTCTTCGGACCACGGATTAGCAAGACTTTCTTCAACACTAACAACTGGATAAGCATCTTGCAAGTCAGTTGTTGGCACTGTGCTTTATTGAAGATCAGCGTCAGATTCATCAAGCCACTCGGCGTCATTATTTTCGCGCACTACACAGGGTTCTCGATCTACCGAATCGATCGTCGCGTGACGATGCGTGAAGGACGAACATTAGACCCTAGACTAACCTAGACTATTATTGCTCGAATTAGGTTCATGCTTGTGAATTTACATGTACAGGCGAGTCAAGGTCACATTACACGCCGCTTTTCGGTTTAGAAATCGCGCGTTAGACGAAAAAATAAATACATGATAATCTTACTACACCCTCTACACACATATCTACTTACACATCTTACTACCCCCTTGTGATATTTCGTGATTTTGTCAAACCCCCTCCCCCCCCCCTTTCGTGCCTCTCATGATTAATGGATGGCCTCTAAGGCATTGAAATGGAGGGGGCATATGTTCAGCATAGTACTTCTGATAGTATGCAGTAATAAAAAAATACCGAGAGATTTTATGACCTCCACTTGAATTTGCAATTATCAATTTTAGTGAAACAAAACTAACAAAAAAACGAGGGAAGAATGTTTTTCTTACGTCACGTGAACGTTACGTTAAATGAAGACTACAAGTATCTTTACTAATTTTTGGTTTATACAATTAATTGTTGGTTTATAGATCATTGTAAACATCTTAAATATTAAATAATCAATATTTTACAGATTTTTTTTATTTGTTTCAGATAAAAAAGGATATAACAGTAAGTTTTTACCTGTAAGAAATTGAAAATATTTCAAACCACTACTAAGATAGTACTGCCAGCTAATGCTCAAGTATTTTTACTTCGAAATATGTCGTTAAAAACATTGGATTGATAGTTATGGCCACGCATTAGAGGTCATCAAGACTTTATTTATTTTAGCTTGTTTAACGTTGAAATTAACGTAATATTTTTATTTTAGAACTCAAACGTCAGGTGACGTTTGGGGCCGTAGATATTGGGGACGTTTACGAAATGGATCCTCAGCTGAAGAAAGTGCGTGACGACGAGATTAATGCACTATGTAACGTGGTAAGATTTGATTTTAAAATGTCGTTTAAAATGATATTTAATCATAATTTATTCCAAAACTGGTTATTAAGCTATTGCATAGCTTCCATCGCGGGCCTTGAGCGCGGGGACCGAATCCAGAAATTCATTCCGTAACGAAAAAACCTCACGCTCCCCACTCCGACGGGCACGGAGGTGTGGCTTGAAGGCCGTGTATTGTCTAACGTCGTTTCTTTTCGGACACGGTGTTTGTGTGCTTGCAACTAGACGTATTGTACGACTCTACGAAGCTCGCACGAATCGAGACGAGCTGCTCCGAAATCGGACGAATACATAAGCAGCTGTTTATGAGAAAGTATATAGGTGTACAAGTATTTATGTACAACAGTGAATAGCTGTACTTGTAAAATTTGTGTATAAAGTGTTTTGAATATGAATGAACAAATTGCATTTATTATTTATTTATTTAATAAAAGAAAAAGAATTGTTTTCTTTTTTCGGTCACCACGCTCAAAAAGTGTAACTTGAATTAATATCAAAGAAAAAGAAATACTGCATAAATAAAATAAATAAATAATTATAATTGCATAAGTTGATACAAAATGCTATGCAATAGCTTTACCGCGGCAGTCCCCGAGTGCCACACGTCTTTTTTTATTTAGAATCCCTAAAATACCTTCTGTATATTTCGATGTACCTATATTATTCTTGAGCAATACCAAGGTTCGGTTTACATTTTGAGAAGTAGTAACAAGTGCGAGTGGCAAGTGTAACTGACAAATGTCATGTGCTTAGTATTCTATTACACATATCATTAAAGATACACTCATACTACATCTATATATGAGTATGTTCTACTTTTTGATACACACACACACACACACACACACACACACGCACGCACGCAGCACACGCGCGCACGCACACGCGCGCACGCACGCACACACGACACGCAACACACGCACACACACACACACACACACAACACACACACACACAACACACACACACACACACACACACACACACACACACACACACGCACGCACGCACACACACACACACACACAGACACACACACAGCACGCACACAGACACACACACACACACACACACACACACACACACACACACACACACACACACACACACACACACACACACACACACAGAACACACGCACACACACACACACACACACACACACACACACACACACACAGACACACACACACACACACACACACACACACACACACACACACACACACACACACACACACACAGAAACACACACGCGCACACACACGCACGCACACAACACACACACACAACACACACACACACACACACACACACACACACACACACACACACACACACACACACACACACACATATCATTCTTAAATCTTTGTAAAAGTTGGACGCATACTGAAATAATAAACATGTTGTTGGTTGCAAATGATTTAGGAGCATATTTTTTGTGAGTGTGTAGTTTAGGTTTTAGCGCTCCATTCTTTCTTTGTTGATCTGAGTAGGATACAGATTACAAATGATTTTATTATGTCACCAGTTCTGAAAAATCCGCTGCCTGACGTAGTCTCTCAACCGTACGTTAGAGTATTTATTATTATTGAAGTTTCACTCTTCCTCGACGTAGTGGAGAAATATAGTTCTTTTTCTTAGGGTGCCACTTCTCTGCGAAGGTTGGCGACCATCATGGCTATCTTTATCTTTAGAGCTGCAGCACGGAAGAGAGGGCGAGTGATGAGGTTAAACTTCCTTCGAGTTTTCCTTGAATAGCAAGCTCAAGAATACGATATTTGTGTCCTCTCATTACATGTCCAAAATTCTGCAGCTTTTTCTCCTTCACGGTCCTCATTATCTCCAACTTCTTATTCACTCGACGTAGAATCTCAACATTTGTTATTCTCATAGTCCAGGATATTCGGAGCATACGTATGTATACCCACTTTTCAAATGCTTCAAGTTTTGAACAAAATGTCAAGGTTAAGGTTCAACTTTCGACCCCATAAAGAAGAACACTAAACACATAATAGCGCACATTTTACAAAAAACTTTTTAGTTTCATAAAGGTACTACGGGCTGGTTCCATACGAACTTAAATTTTCTGTTCGCTACTTCATTGCTCATTTATGTATGTAGCTTCCTAGTTATTTAAATTTGTTTTACGCGTTCTATTCGTGGAGGAGCCGTGGTAGCTCAAATGGTTAGCGCTCGCAGTAAATTTCACAGTACGCGAGCAAACCGTTCGATCCCCGCCGGCACCAATGAAATTGTTAATTGCAATTTTTAGTGCTGATTTACCACGTGCTCGGCGGTGAAGGAAAACATCGTGAGGAAGCCTGCATGTCTAAGAAATAAGAAAAAATATATTTCGAAGACATGTCAAGTTCGCCAACACGCATTGGGGCAGCACGACGGACACTTCCTTGCCCTAATATGCTCTCAGAAATGAGGGGAGGCCTGTGCCTAGCAGTGGGACGTATATAGGCTGTAACTTTAACTTTAACGCGTTCTATTAGGCTATTCTTCAAAAGTAGATATTCATTTGTCACTGGGGTCTTGGATACCACCATAAAATTAGTATTTTTTCACGTTTATTTTTAGTCCGTATTTGTTGTTCGCCACATTTAAACAATCCCAAGTACTTTGGTAGACCTACAATATCATCCGTAATAAGAATTGTGTCATCAGCATACCGTATATTGTTTACGAGCTCTCCATTTATCACTATACCTTCATAGGCTCCGTAGAGGGATTCGGCCATGATTCTTTCGGCATATACATTAAATAATACGGGCGATAAAATACGCCCCTGTCGCACACCACCACACAGCACACCACGCTTAATGTTAGTTTCTTTGGATAGTTGACTAATCAATGACTTACCTTACATAGTAGGGGATAACCATGATATAGTATTATTTGCTGATGATACTTCATTAATTTTCAAATTAAAACGACAGTTATTAAATTACGACGAAGTAAATAATGCTATAGCTAAGTTAGTTAATTGGTTTAATGTTAATAATTTGCATTTGAATGGAACTAAAACTAAATGTATGAATTTCGTAACTCCTAATGTTAAACTTGTCAATACTAATGTAATTTTAAATGGGGAGGAACTGAGTCTTGTTGATACCACCATTTTTCTTGGAATCACACTGGACGCAAAGCTTCAATGGCTGCCCCATATATCAAAACTAGCTGGAAGACTTAGTTCTGCAGCATATGCTGTAAAAAAGATTAGAACTCTTACCAATGTTGAAACAGCTAGAATAGTTTACTTTAGTTATTTCCATAGCATTATGTCGTATGGTATTTTGCTATGGGGACACGCGACTGACACTGAAATTATATTTATTTTACAGAAGAGGGCCATTAGAGCAATATATAATTTAAAACCAAAAGAGTCATTGAGACAAAAATTTAAGGAAATTAATATATTAACTCTGGCCTCTCAATACACTTATGAAAATGTAATGTACGTACACAAAAATAAAAATAGTTTTGCGAAGTAAGTGATATTCGTTCTCTAAATACTAGGAACAGACACAAGCTAGTAGTACCAGTTACTCGACTCCACCGAGTCAATAATTCATTCTTGGGGCGATGTTACGTTTTTACAACAAATTCCCAGAAAAAATACAAAATTTATCATACACGAAGTTCTAAAATGTTATTGAACTAAGTTTGTATAAAAAGGGTTACTATAATATTAAGGAATTTATGGATGTAATAACCCCTGGGAAGGGTGATCGCTACCAAGCTATTTCTAATTTGTCTTGTGTTGCTAATTGTAAACATGATTGTAAGCTATTAAAAAAAAAAAATAGTCCCGCTGGGTTTCCTGCTCGTTCTTCCCAGGACAAAGGTTTTTTTTTGCGAACCGGTGGTAAATGAAAAAAGTGACTTTCAATAAGTATTTGTTATAATCTACATTGAATAAAAAAGTTTGTTTCTGTTGGTCTTTTCAGCCCTATTGCTTTTTGAGCCCAGTACAGATTAGTAATCACTCTGAGGTCATGTTTGTCGATACCGATATATTCGAGAATCTCAATTAGCTGTTCAAATGTTCATGTCGTAGTATTTCAAACGCCTTTGCGTAATCAATGAAGAATAAGTAGGTACACTTTTTTGTTCATGTCTAGACATCTTTGAACTAGAATATTTAGACAGTACTGTGGTGCATCTCTGGTACAAAAGCCATTTCTAAAACCAAATTGAGTGTCTGATATATATTCTTCGCGCTTCTGGTAAATGTAAGCATGTATAACTTTACAAAACATCTTGAGAACATGGCTCATCAAACAAATCGTTCTTTGGTCTTCACAGCGCTTAGAGTTTAGTTTTCGGGGTATAGTCGTAAAAGTAGATTTCAACAAATCATTGGGGAAAATACCAGTTTTGTCTTCCGGCACCTCTATATTAATAACATCGTTTCTACTATCCGCGGAAAGTCTCTCTATATATTCTCATTAATTAATTTTATCTTGAATTGTATGGATTAAGTCACCATTATCATTAACCAGTGCTTACAGCATTTCGTGTTTTAAAGGTTGTATAACTTTCGTTTATTTTCTTAAACATATTAAAACGCTCATGTTATTCTGCCAAATTATTATACATAAATTAGCAGAAAAATAAAACAAAAACGTCACGTTTTATTGTAACCTTTCACTTTACTATTATAAAACCTACCTATAATTGTGTGTACGTACAAAGTAAAATTTGTTTATTACACATTTACACGCAATTTTTTTATCATATTTGACAGACGAATTTGCGATAGTACTAGCATATATATATCTTGCATTTTTAATTTTTCGTAAATTTGTGTTTTAATTTACCACGGAAAAAGACCGTGGGAAACCTGCATATTAAAAAAAATTCAAAGACATTTGAAGCCCGCTGAAAGCCTGCTTGCCCAAAATGCTCCAGGATATTAAATAAGACCTCAGGGCTGCTCTGCTGCTGCTGCTCAGACCTGCTCAGGGCACAGTAGTGGGACGTATAAAGGCTGTAACTTTTAACTTTATGGTGTTATGGTTATTTTATATCTGACCTATATGAAATAGCTCAAATGGTTATTACAGTAGATCGGAAATCATAGGATTATCTCTACTTCTTATAATATCCATCTGATTAAACTAAAAAGTATCCTCATTTTTTTACTAGGTTAAAAGATACAGTAACATATAGTACCAGATACCCAGATAAAATTATTTTACCTTCATTAAAAACAAGCCTGTACTCAAAAAATTGCTATGTGATGGCTATTCAAGTATTTAGTAAAATCCCAAATGAAATAAAGCAACTAGATTATAGTCGATTTAGATGTAATTTATTAAAGTGGCTTCTAGAAAAACAATTTTATTCGGTAAATGAACTGCTAAAAATAAAAGAACGTTTCTATTGACTGTTAAACTCTGTTTCTTTTTTGATTGTGTTTTAAAGGATTAATATTAAATATTGTAAAGTGAGATACGTGTAAATTTTGTATATTCTAACAATAAGTTGATTAGTAAATAAGTTTTCATATACCAAAATTGGTGAAATATGTGATACATTATTATTTTATAAGAACATCCTTGTACCATATTTCTTGTGAATAAATTTATTTATTTATTTATTATAACGTAGATAAATTATGTTGGTGTCTTCAAAGATGAAGTGAATATGTTTTTGAATAGAATAAGAAAGTCATTTTTCAAAGACTTTTTTATATAAGTCATTACACTTTACTATCTTCTACTGCATCACCACCTTACCATCAGGTGGAATGGTCGTCAGTCAGCACTGGCACTTATATTAGTAAAAGAAGAAGTAAATTACTAATTGTCTATACATAGTACTATTTCATGAACATGAGGGGCTCACCAAACCACAGGGTCAATACCGGCCCGCGGACACAACCGACTAGACTTTTCTTTTTATATGAGAGGGGACAAACGAGCATGTAGCTCACCTGATAGTAATGGACTACCGCCGCCCATGATCAACGGCAACACCAGGGGAATTGCAGCTGCGATGCTGACATTTTATAAAAAAGTAGGCTCTATTCTTGAAGATCCCTAAGTCGTATCGGTCCGGAAAAATCGCTGGTGGTAGTTAGCATATTTTTGAAAGAAAAAAAAAACGAATATTTGTGTGTATACAAAACTACAGTATCTCGCTATGATTGTCTAGATCGGCCTTGGGGCCTGGAGGATTCAGGGTTCAGTGTGGCTCTTGTGCTAAAGATTTAGAAATTTACATTAGTAGGTTTTTATTCCTTTGGGTCGGTAAAGGTTGTGGATAGATATGATCCAGCTATCACACGATAGTATTAAATGTTATGTGTAATCTGTTACAGTTCCTTGACGAATGTAAGAACCACGCAGACGAAAATGAAGCAAAGATCTGCAAACGTATAGTGACTGCCGTGGACGGATTGAGAAACGTAATTATTCTCTTCTCCTATTCAGAAAATGGTTACACATTACGCGCTTAAAAATACGAAACTACTTTTCTTAAGTAAATCTGCTATACATTACATAACAGCCCATCAAGGTCCAATGGTGAACATTGTCATTCCCCCGTTAGATTACCGTATGCATAAGTAAATATATATATATATAAAAAAAAAATATAAAAAAAAAAAGCCATTATATTGTTACTCTCTATCGCCTCTGACAACAAACATGTGATCGTATGGAGTAGTGCATATTTTTACACCGCCACTACAATGGATATAAATTATATATATATATATATATATATATATATATATATATATATATATATATATATATATACAAACGCTATTGCAGTGCTTCAGGCGTGTTTGCCGAAGCACGAATTAATACGTTTAATGCCATTCGTGATTCAGAATCGCGAATTGGTGAGTGTAGAAACAAGATAATTAGTGAGTTTGCGGTAAGACTGTCGGCCACAGCCTTTTATCAAAAATGGAGACTTAGATATTAAATAATATAATTATATTTTAATTTTTAGTAATTCTGTACTGTATTGTCTCTTTTGTTGGTAATTTATATGGGTGCAATATGCCTAAAATAAAGAGAATTTATTTATTTATATATACCAGGCGGTCCCATAATGAACTGGCCTGATACAGTTCAACGCGACATGTCGCTACATGTTGTGTTGCATTAAATAGTACGTTTATCGTGCACTTAATATAAGAAACATGCATCGACATGAAATGCTTAGTCTTAGTTTAACAGGCATTTGAATAACGAGAGTCGCGTATTTTTTCAAAATGTCGAAAACTGAGTATCGAAGTGTCATAAAGTTTCTGTTTATAGAAGGTTTATCCCCCTCTCAAATAAAAGAACGATTGGATGGCGTGTATAATGAGTCGGCCCCCTCTTATAGCACAGTGAAAAATTGGGTGAAAGAGTTTCGCCTCGGGAGAGAAACCGTCGAAGACTTTGGCCACGACGGTCGACCTGTGGAAGTGCTCACTCCCGAAACGATTGCTCTTATCGAAGAGGAGGTTCTGAGTGACCGCCGTTTGAAGATTAGAGAAATTGCAGCAAGGCTTGGGCTCTCTAAGAGTACCGTTCATCGCGCGATCCATGAACATCTTCACATGAAAAAAGTGAGTGCAAGATGGGTACCGAAACTTCTTTCAGCGGTACAGAGACAGGAAAGAGTGCGCTGCGCTTCGGAGTTTTTGGATCTTTGTGGCGAAAATCCAAAGACGTGATCGAGCTGCTAGTAACTGGTGATGAAACTATGATCTTGTATTATGATCCACAAAGCAAGCGCGAGTCAATGGAATGGCGTTATAAGGGTGAAAAGCCCCCTAGAAAAGCAAAGGTGCAACAATCGACTAAAAAAACTGATGATTTTGGGATTTTCAAGGCATTTTGATGGTGGATTTTAAAGAACGTAATACAGTAGTGAACGGCGAATATTATGCTTCGTTAATATATAAATTACGAGACAAGATAAAGGAAAAACGAAGAGGCAAGCTGTCTAAAGGTGTCCTGTTGCTCCATGACAACGCCCCTGTTCGTACCGCTGGTGTTTCGAAGGATGCAGTTCGTCAATGCGGGTTCACAGAAGTTCAACATCCACCTTACAGTCCAGACATGGCCCCGTCCGACTATTATTTATTTCCAAATTTAAAGCGGGACTTAAGAGGAAGAAAATTTTCAAGCGATGAAGAGTTGCAGGCAGCCGTCTTCAGTCATTTTGAGGATAAAAAATGTGATTATTTTTATAAAGGTTTAGAGATGAATATGATTCACAGATGTCAGAAGTGTGTTAGTATTCATGGTTATTATATTGAAAAATAAAATTGGTTTCGTTTCATTTCCTTCATTGGTTCATAGTTAGGCCAATTCATTATGGGACCGCTTACGTATATATATATATATATATATATATATATATATATATATATATATATATATATATATATATATATATATATATATCATCCTTTGGATGCCCTTACGAGCGACAGAGACAAATGATGCATGAGATGGACAGTACTGGCAACTTTTTTATAGAATAAGGATGAAAACGAGCACACAGACCACCTGGTGAGATAAGTGGATACTGTGACCCATAGACATCCACATTTATCCTCAATTAAGTATCAAAATGCAGGTAGGGGATGTCACCCCTGAGGACAGGTGGAATGCCTCGTTTCCAGTAAAAAGGGTCTCCGCTTCTCTACACTCACCATAGCAGCATTACGCCGCTATTTTTACACTGGTAAACTATAACAAGTATTCCCCTTATGGGGCAATCCATAATGAGTCTTATGTTCAGATGATGATATACCGAGACCTAACGCGGTCGCTTACTCTGCTTATCATTGAAATCGCTACTGGAAATTGCCCAAAGTTGCTAAAAGGGATGTTGATAGTTATCACAAAAATTCTAGTGACGAGAGGTCTTGTTTTATCATCACTGCAATGCAAATAATCTTAATTATTAGAATGCACTGAACTGAGAAATATTTCTTTTTATTCTGTGTCAATTTCGTGGTGTTTACAGCAATAACAACATTTTTATATAAAAATAATTTTGGTCATACAATTCTTAACGAGATTTTTTATATAACTTACAGGAACTAAGGCTAAGCATCACCAAGCGTGTTCTAAATATCACACATAACATCCCGTTAAGGTTATACGCAAGCCAAAAAATACAATCAACTGAGATAGACAATCATCTTAAGAAGTTGGGAATTATTAGTCTTAGGAAATCTAGAGGCCGTAAATTGTTGTACATAGCCATTTGTAACTCCTTTAACGCACATGACAGACTTTGCGATATGGGAAGAATGGAAATTGGTAAGTGTCTTTTTAAGATTTTTACGTATGTTTACCATTTTTTTATTACAAGTCAGTGCTTTACCACAATCTTACCTGTTGCTAAGTGATAATGAAGCCTTAGATGGTAAATCGGAATGTCTTAGCGTCACAAAAGCCTATTCACTCTCGCCTTAGAGGTTCCATTTGCATTCAGACTAGTCCTGTGTCGATCGCGATTGATCGAATCTTTTTGATTAGATTGCAACCTGTACACGAGTGATCGAATCATGGATCTCTAAAAGATTCGATCTTATTTGACCCGGTTTCAAGGTGACAAACCAAATTCTACTTTTTTGTATATTTTTACATACATATAATCGATCGAATCGTGCAATCAATCACACAACGACGTAATAAACAAAATGTCTTCTGTCTCCTTCGTTTACACACAATTCAACCAATAAACAAATCGTGGTATGTATTATTACTATTATAGCACCCGTTCAGCATTCTTCATTCTGTCATACAAAGTATACAAACACATTACGTTAGTACTCTTATTAGTTTGTGGTATACAAACGAGCTGCAACCCAAATGATCGAAACGATCTAATCTTTTTAACCCGATCACCATACGAGTGGGTCGTAATCGACCCGGGTTACGAGAAATGATCGATCGACACAGGTCTTATTCAGACAAAAAGGCATACGCTGGCAGATTATTCCACTCCGTTGCTGTACGCATTACGAAGTAAACCGTTCGGTTCGAATGCGCAAAATATCGATGAAAGGTGGAAAGGAGAGGAAAGAATCCAAAAAAATCATTGGTTTACACCCACGGTATTATATGAAGATGTAGATTCCTTTAAGCTGCCACTACACCGTGGTTAAGAGTGGTAGCGGTTTTTTCCTGGTGGTTGAACATCTGAAAAATAATAATCGTCTAAAAGACGTATTAAAGGTGTATATTTTGCAAAGATCGATATTAGTTACAAAGAGGAGTTATTTAAATTTTTGAGTATCTATTTTGCTTGTGACATGAGCCTCGTACTGTCTTATGATTATAACTTCAGAGTTTCGCAAGCGTTTTAAAAAGTAGTTGTAAAATCCGAGATATCGCGCTATTTTATACCAATAATTTAATGATTACTAGTTTATTTATTTTTAACGTTACAGGTAACCTCACTTTATTATTCAGACCAATGAACAGTGGTAAATTAAAAAAGGTAAAACATAGCGTAGGAAATAACGGCAATAAGAAAGACGCTGGTTATACTTTTCATGAAGATGTTACAGATGATAAGGAACTTTTTGAAGATGATGATATTGGTTACGATGAGGAAGATTACGATGAGGAACATAATGATGATAGCGAAGTTATTGAATTACAAAGTGATGATTATAATGATGTTGAAATAATAGACGATACACACGGCGTCATATTCATTGATGACGAAACAAATGTAGAAAACAAAAATACTGACGAGGCTAAAAGTGAAATGTCACAGACTCAGGAAGAAACATCAAAATCCGAAATTAATGTAATAAAGAACTCTGATAAATCTAATGATAACAAAATACAGGAATCTGAAACTGAAAATCTGCTTAAGGATATTCAAACATTGACAGATCGTATAACCAATGAAGAAAATGTGAACGATGTTAATGTAAATTCAGCTAACACTACGGAAAAAACTAATGATAAAGACTCTATTGCAGTAGACGTAGAAGATACTAAACCAAACTATGAAGACTTGAATATTGATGTCGAAAATATTTCACAAGATGATTTAGAAGATTTTTGAATGTTTTAAATATAGTGATGACAATTTAATTATTACGTATTACTAATAAATTTTCTCTTTGTCTTATGTAGTTTTTGCGTAAAAACTATAAATTTAAGCTTAAAAGTAAATGTTATATTAGTAATGTATTCATTACACATTAGAATTATATTGAAGTCTGCAATATATAAAAATAAAAAGGGTATTACCTCTTAACCGATAGTTTCATTTATTTTGTTATCTAATATTCTTAAAAGATACCCAAAATGTAACTGACACACTATTTATAATTTTTGTGGTAGCCTGGATGTAGCTATATGTATATGTTTTTTTTAATAGAAGAGGGGGCAAACGAGCATGCGGCTCACCTGATGTTAAGCGACTACCGCCGCTCATGATCAACCGCAACACTAGGGGAATTTCAGGTGCGTTGCCGGCCTTTTAGAAAGGAGTAAGCTCTTTTCTTGAAGGTCCCCAGCTCGTATCGGTCCGGAAAAATCACTGGTGATAAACTATTCCACAGAGAGGTCGTACGCGGAAGAAAACTCTTTGTGAAACGTACAGTGGTGGACCGCCAAGCATCCAGATGGTGTGGATGGTATCGGGACTTTTGCCGCGTAGTGCGTTCACGAAAGGGGGACGCCCACTTTCGGCCATGGAACGCCCAACAATGTGAATTTGTTAAAAAATTATATCTTTATTTATGGTTATTAATCGCGGTATTCATTTATCCTCAAACAATGGGAATATTTTTGCACAAATTAAAAGTACCGGAAACATAATAATAAAAATTAGGTAAATCATTGTCATTAGTTTGTGAATAAAAAAAAAGTGTTGCCAATCACAAAACACATTTAAAAAATCGATTCTCTTTTTCGATCGATTATTTACGGTGTCATCATTACAGTGCTAATATAATTTTTAAATAATTATGATGTTACGATAATTAAACAAGCGAATTACTAGCTGATTTCTAATGAATTCTTTAGAGAGTAACAAATGCTACGGCACAATTTAACTGTTAATCTTAACCGATCTTCTTTGAAAACAGATAAGAACTGTTATTCTTATCTGTTTTTAAAGAAGATCAGTTAAGTTATTCTTATCTGTTTATAACAACACATTTAAAATAGAATCATGTTATGATAACGAAACAAGTTAGTTTCCAGCTGATTTACCATGAATCCTTTAACCTTTTGAGCGGCAAAGTCGCCTATACTTGACCAACACCTGCGGGCCCTGAGCGCCAACGACGTCTATAGTTGACAAAAAACCCGGCTCCGAAAAATATGAAATATAGATATTGGAAAATTATTACAGGTATTTTAATTCTACACTCCTCAAAATAGGAATAACCCAGCAACATGTGAGTATAAAAAACAAGTCTTCTAGAGCCACAAGTACTAAGAAACATTGAACTAATAAAAATGGATTTTTATCTAAGCAAATACTATGTCCAGCACGCCAAAGTCGTCTATGGTTGACCGCTAGTGTCAAACGCGGGAGGCATAGATTTCTTGAAAACTATCCAAAATTCAGCTCAATGGTGTTTTTTTTTTCTATTATTATTGATATTTGAATAAAATTAAAGGTTATAAACATAAAACTATAATTAGCTACATGAATAAAAAAATGTTATCAGATTATCTTCGCATAATAAATGTAATATCTCAACTCTAGCGCATCTTTAGCGCGTCATCGAAAATCAGTTCACTGGGCACCGTGATCAAGGATAGACGACACCCTGATGACGTCATAAGTGATTACCGAGAAAAGTAGAGCAATGCAACATGAACGATTCCTCAGAACTCATTCGGATTTTGGAAAGCGTCGATGATGATGAATTTTGATTGAATTTTTGATTGATTGGTGAACAAATATGTTTATTTATTCCATGACCAAGATTTTAGTATTATAAGGCTGATTTACCTAGTGCGAATAATTATATACAATTGTTGATTAATGAATAATTATGTACCTTTTTTTAATAATAATACAAAATTACAATTAATGTTTTTTTTTACTTAGGGTGTGAAGAGCAATTTTTCATTTTGTGTTGTGCCATTTTCTTTCTCAGTCTCAAAATCATCTAGCAGCATCAGCATCATATCAAATCCCCATTGTCATAAGAGTGTAAGACTTTTCTTCTGTGCGTCACTTGGCCTACGCCTTCCCCGACACATAAAATATTATGAATCGATGTCTGTATATTTCGGTTAGATCGATTTTGAAATCGATACACAACATTCTAAGAATGTTTCAAAAGGGAAGGTCAGCTACGCCGTTGTCGTCCAGTCGCGACAGTGTCGTCATTAGGATGGAGAGTAGTGCTAATGTTTACTACTATTTTATTGTATTGTTTTTTTTTATTTATGTTTATATGTACAAAGTACATATATAAAAAGAGTGGAAGACGGCACAAGATTAAATAAAACATACAGTTTATTAAGAGTCATTTATAGCATAAAAAACCAACAAAAACAAGTTATTTCACGTTATCGATATATCAACTCTTGGCAACACTATTTTGTTTTGGCGCTTTGGCGTACAGGACACGGTAATGCGTTTTTGGCGTGGCGCTCAAAAGGTTAAAGCTTAACAAAACGCAACTGCACAATTTTTATCAATTTCAAGACAAAAACAACCGTTGTTATCGGCTTGGTTGAAAACGTTAACAACCGCCTTCACATCTGTAGTTATGATAATTAAATAAGCGATTTAATAGCTGATTTACAATGAATTCTATGCAGTATAACATAACGCTACTGCACAATATAACTGTTATTCTTATCTTTTCTTAACAATACATTTAAAATGAAATCATGTTACGATAATTAAACAAGTGAATTTCTAGCTGATATACCATGAATTTTTTAGAGCTTCATAAAACACTACTGCACAATTAACTGTTCTTAAAAATACACTTAAAATAGAATTTAAATAAAAAAGGAAGATACATTTTAAAAAGCGAGCAGAAGTTAAAACACCTCCAAGATTATTCTCTTTTTATGAAATTGTTAATCGAATAATAATCGAATCGCTATGGATATTATGATGTTATGATAATTAAACAAGCGAATTACTAGCTGATTTACTATGAATTCTTTAGAGTACAATAAAATGCTACTGCACAATTTAACTGTTATTGTTATCTGTTTTAACAATACATTTAAAATGGAATCATGTTATGATAATTAAACAAGTGAATTTTTAGCTGATTTACCATGAACTGTTTAGAGCATAACAATACGCTACTCCACATTTTAACTGTTCTTAAAAATACGTTTAAAACATAATTTAAAAAAATAAAAGAAAATATATTTTAAAAAGCGTGTAGAACTGAAAGCGAAACTCAAATATTATTATTTTTTCATTAAATTACTAATCGAATACAAATCGATATCGTTTCGTTGTATTTATGTTAGTTATGTGGCAACATCAAATCTGACAGCTATAGGAAATATGTCATGCGAAATGAAATCACAATTCAACAAGTAAAAAGGTACTAGTGAATTCACAACTAAATAGTTGCCATTGTGTTATTTTGTTTGTTATTTTTCAAATAAATTCTCAAGAACTCATATGGAGTGAGATTGTCGATCACATTATAGTGTGACAACAGTTAAAAGTAAGTGTTCAACAGTTTTTAATTTATTAATTCTAGTGCTGATATTTGATAGTGATGAATGTATGAAATGATGAAGTTGTTTTATTTTTTAACATATGCACAAGCTATACCTGACAAACAAAATAGCTTATTTGTAACACGGCGATAAGATTAGCTAGCTAACACCAGATAGTTACGAAATGGACAATTTTTATCAAATACCAAGAAATAAGACAGTCGATTTTTAATTGTTTTTGGACTACTGGTAGGCAGTCAGTCCTTAATTATTAAATAATATAGGGCATTAAGTTTTAAGTAACATTTACCTATATTTGAGTTTAAAGTAAACAAATCTATTTTATTTTTGTTCACTTTGTCTTATTTTTTTTTATTTAATATTAGTTGCCATCGTCATCGCGTGAGTGTCATGATTGCGAAGGATTGATAAAGCAGCAACACGTTAAACTTTAGAACGGGAACCATCTGAATCATCTAGTCCATCCTTGTAGCAATCTAAAGTGAGTAATGTATTGAACCTAGAACAACAAAGCTTAGATCATACATCATACAATATACTGCTGCCTAATTTTGTAAGAGCACCACTCACACAAAATCAATGTTTTTTCCTGGTTGTAACAATTCCAATCAACTCACTGTTCCATCAGCAGTGCGGGTATGTATTTTTGTGAATACAATTACTATGTACCTCCAGAATGTAGAATCAGTAACTACCATTTAAATAGTAACTCTTGGTATTTACTTTTAGAATTAATATATAACCATATTAAAACATTTAGTGTAGCACAAATTATAGATTTTTCTACATTATTGTAAGATAATATTTACCATCATATAGACTTTGAAAATATTTACAATATGCCCGAATATACTGTACATTATTATCTACGCTTATCAAAGGCACAATGCCAATAAATTCTGTCTGAAGTGCCCAAAATGTCAAGTAAACATAGTGGATGCTTTGCACTTGCTGTATATTTGATAAAAGTAAGAACAGGAGATAGTGATGAATGCATATAGGCATTATTGCAAGTACCAAGAAACAAATTAGAGCGGCTCATGAATATGGCCCAAGAAATATTAAATCAGGATGTTGTTCCTATGAATTTTATCCATCGTTACCACTCTCTGTGCCAAATTCTATTCAGTGATTATGATATTATATCTGAGGCAAATAATTTCTTAGCTTTCCTAGATGTTTTTGTTATCCAAAATCCTAACAACATCATAGGTCACACTGTGTATAGAAAAAAGACCCACACAAACTGATATTGAAGCGGTGAATCTCACCATAATCCTTCACAGTTAGTTACCATGAGCAAATCTTTGTTACAGAGAGCATATGGGATCTGTGAGAACAAGCACCTGGCCGCGGAGCTTCAGCACGTCAAGCAGG